ATACATGCACATCGTGAAGTCAACACATCGATGATGTGTAATTATTACAAGTAAGTAGGTAAGTAAATTAAAGAAACGTTAAAAATATTCACAATTATTCTACAAAATTTACAGGATTACCTAGATCCATTTACTCGTCGCACATTTGAACATTTACACGTACATCGAGAAATCAATCGTTGAGAGATCTATTATTTATTTAGAAACGAAGAAAAAAAAAATGAAAACAGACAAAAAATTTACAAATAATCGTGAATAAAGTAATGTATTCTTATTTGATCGAGACGAGAGGATTATATCGAATGATCGAATCGAAACGAAAAAATATAAGTTTCCAAATCTTAAAAAAATTTTCGATTTCATCTACGAGAATCTCGAATGGAACGAGGATAAAGAACGTTTTCCTTTTATTTCTTTCTTTCGACTTTTTCGTTAATAATAACGTTAAAATAATATTTTAATAATAATATTTTTAAAGTAATCATCCTCTTTATAAATCTTAAATACTTTGGATTCGATGGTTGGAATGGTCCTAACGATATTCCCTTTTATGCACCTTACGAACTGCTTCCGTTTTAACGTTATATATAAAAATATATATCAACAAATACGCAATATCGAAAGTTTAATAAAAAATCTCGACGACGAGACAAGATTTTCTTCACATCTAATCCACGTCCACGTCTTTTTTTATTTATTATTACGAATATGATAATGTTTCTCGTACACTCGTCTCGTAATCCAGGGATATTTAATTCTTTTACGCACAAATTTTTCAATCCACTTTGAAACATATATATAGAACGGGATATATGAAAATTTTATATAAGAATGAAAATATTGCTTCCGTGCTTAATTATTTCGTTGATCCGCGGTTCGTAAGGTATCGAACTGCGTCCTGTTTTGTTGTATCGTGCCAAAGTTTTTCGAGGTGCCTAAGTCAAGCGAATGGAAAGATTTTCTCTCCTTTTGCCGAATCGCGTTGAAATTCGCCCTGAAATTGCGGCAAATGCGAATCTCGGAAGTTGACTTTACTATGACATTTGGATCTCGTTACAAGTTATATATTACATCGTCTCTTATTAATTTTTAACGAAGCTTTAAAGAACAATCGTTTCCTTTTTTCTAATTTTTTTTTTTTTTTTTTTCAGAGCCACGTTTCTACTGCCCGATGTTGATAAAACGAACGTACGCACGTAACGTAAAGTTCGAGAGAACTTTTTTTCTCGAGTTCTCAATGCGATACATTGCTCTCCTGATATATTATATTCTATAATGTTAATTCGATTCGAGAATTTACATCGAAAAATTAACATTTTCCTTTTTTTTCCAGATTTGTCTATCAATTCAGAGGGAAAGAGTAAGGCTAAGAGTAAGGTACGTATCTTAAGAGGACTCGTCCGTATTTTATCGCGCAAAGCCAATCTCCAAGAAATCGAGGCTTCGTTTCTCGCGTTTCGAACAATCGCGTATGTAAACAACAACCGTTCATTTTTATTTTCTTCTTCTTCTTCTTCTTCTTCTTCTTCTTTGCCACTGTACACACACGTGCGCGCACTTGCGCGCTACTCAACTCATTATAGGTTAATTACTCAACGATAAACGTTCGTCCTCCTATATAAACGCCATATCCGTCGAATACTGTCTCTGCTTAGAAACTACTTGGCGGGGTGAAGTCGACGATATAGGAGAATGGCCGGAGAAACGAAATATGCGTGTGTATGCGTGTCTGTGTTTGTGTGTGTGTGTGTGTGTGTGTGATGAAGGAGGACGGTGAGATTAATGAAACGACGGTAAAATTCAACAACCTATCATCGTGAATTGAACCTATCAACATCGAGAAACGCGAGACGTTTTCTTTCGCGGGAAGTGTAGATCTGTTGTCAGAAGAACGGAATTCTGTACAATTACGATTTTCAGAACGAAGAAAACGAAGGCGGACACGATCGTATTAGAATTATATTAGAAAAAACGAATATTGTATTCGATCTTCGTTGGGCAGAGGAAATTTGTTTAGGATAGGCTTGTTTCGAGCGATGATAAGCGATCGATTTCGATGTGTTTCTCGATGTGTTCTCGCGGGAGTAACAGACGTAAATATTTATATATATGTATATATGTATATACGTATAGGTCGACTAAAAGGGGGAAACGTAAACGTATCACAAATATATCGGCGGGAAACGATACGACGAATACGTTGGTGAGGAGAATTATATAGAAGATGTGCTCGATACCGATCGCGGCGCATTACGAGCGGCACCGGGACACCGAAATACACGACGTTACTTACAATATTCGTACAAGTGCTTAAACGCTACGCCCGGATCCCACCCGGATCCGACGGGGCCCTTCGCCTAACCGATAAATTGACTATTAATATTTTCCGTAGAGAATTTTACAAACTCAGTCGAGACACACGCGTGCAAGAGATGGAAATGGTGGTGGTGGGTTGCCTCTACTCCGTCACTCCGCACAAGCGACGTCGAAATTCGTTCGTCGAAAATCGTGGGTCGTGATCGACGTGCGTCACTCGTGTCGTGACGTAAGTAACCACACGTCTCCTTTTCTCTTTCCTAGGCTCGCCGATTTTCTCTCTCTTTCTCTCTCTCTTTTCTTTTTCCTCTCCATTTTCTCTCTTTCTCTCTC